ATCGTGATTCACGCAGGAATTACACAGGAATCACGCAGGAAACCGTCCATTTCCAACTAGTACCCACTGTAGGCTGCCACTCCTGTAAGCAGGCATCAGGGTGAAGGGCCCAGTGACCCACATTAGCAGCTTATTCCCCCACTGCTGATATACGAAACCAGGCTTCCTGTTTGCAGGACGACTGACTTACCACTTGAGGTAGCCAGCCGGTAACCTTATAATGATTTGTATAAAAAAAAAAAAAATGGTTCTCAAATATTACAAATAATGAAGTAGCTTGTCTGGAACTAGTAATGAAAAAAATTACCATTGAAAGTGTTGGTAAACATTTGAACATATGGAAGTTGTCCCTCTATGTTTTAAAAGAGAAAAAAAGTAAATCCAAATATATATATATATTTTTAAACTCGAGTTTTAAAAACTAGTGCTGTATGATCATTTCCCACAAGAAAAAAAGCTGTTAAAATAAATGGTTAGAAGCTCCTTTACAATTGTATTATTGAGAAATTCATGTGTAAATTTCTCAAGATATCTTTTTCACTTGATAGGGATAATCTATATCATTCACAAAAAGATGTGTTAAAATTTGTTAAATATAATAGATATGTATACTTTTGCACTGATTACAGATAATACCCAGTGTGTTAATACACTGCTTTACTGATGACATGTGTGAGAAAGGATGTGGACACCATTTTGTCTGGGGAGTACCAAAGATGATCAAAGTCTAATGTGTTTAAGATGTAAGACTTTTTGTTCATGCAGTCACTGGTTTGTTAATTGGTAAGAATCTCAGCACTGATTTCTGTAACCCTTTCTCTGCTTGGCTTAGAATAAAAAAAAATATAAGTGTTGTTCTGTCTGACATTGCTCCTTTAACAGGATGTTGTTACTGTGGATGGTTTCTGGGACAAAGAACTGGGAGGACCATAGATGCAAAGTCTGGTCTAAGAAAAACACACTCATACTCTGAAGGTTATATCTTAAAATTGAAACCAAATTGGCCTACAGTTTATGTTCTGTTCATTTGTTATTCATACAGTGGCAAGATAATATAAACATATGCCTGTTTGCAGATGGAAAAATGTTATGAATTAACATAATGTTGTGATGGAAATGTAAACCACAAGTTGCTTTAAAATTTAGATGTGTTGGAACTGAGAATAAAGCATCTTATTGCATTTTTTGCATGAAATACATTTTCGTGCAGGTGCACCAGGAGTTTAATCATCCATTTGCAGGGAGAGTAGACACCTACAGAATTAGCATGGATAAGCAGGATGGGTTTAAACAGGCATGCCTGAAGACTGGCTTATAAAGACTTCATGCTTTGCTTCCTGACAGCCGTAAAGAATTGAGGCGAGGGAATGAAGGATGGAAGGAAACGGGATGGTAAATAGCAGCAAAGCATTCATCTCACCTCTGCGGAAGAATATCCAGAAGAAGAGTATCTAGACATGTCGAAATCATCATCACTGCAATACAAATGCATGTTACATTTTTTAGCAACACATTTATATGAGTGTGTGTATTTATGAATCAGTGTGTTTGAGTGAATTTACCTGTCGGTATCTAAGGCCACCAGGGGCTTTTCATCTGGGCTCTGGTCTAAGGAAGAATAACCTTTATTTGGCACCACCAGCCTGCAGTGGCGAGATAAAAGGCAAGTAATAAAATGACAAACAGAAGTGATAAGAACATTTAAAGGCTTGTCTATACGTTCAACAGAAGAATCAAAGAGACAAACTCCAAATACATACAAGCTGTGAATATTAAGGCAGAAAGGAGAAAATTGTTCAAATCAGTTGCTTTGAAAATTCTACATTAGTCTATTTTGAAATATTTTGTTTTTCAGTCTTCATCAAATCAGGTTGGATTAATTCACAATTTGATTTGATCTCATTTTTCCTACTGTCCTACAACCACAGCTGATTCTTACCGTGTTCTTGCCATGACGTTGTTCTTCTTTGGCTGCTGGTTAACCGGACTACTTACAGTGGTGCTGTTCTTTAACGAGCCCTTCCTGGCCAGATCTCTTTGTTTCTCTGCATATGAGATAAGAACATATGATTAATAAGAATGGGACAACAGGGCTGACCTTGGGCTGATGTGTAGGTATGTATGCGTGCTTATAATAAAATAGTTTTTTTTAGAGCAATCACCTGCTTATGTTAAATGTCTTTATGTCTATGTCTAAAATGTCTTTACTGTGCGCTAATTGGATACAAAGTCAATTAATTTGTTCTTGTGATTTGGCAATTAAAGCAGATTTGGATTCTAAAATAGAACTTTTACTAACTGAGGAAAGATTTCCATTCTTATTTTTAATCTGATTGAAATAAATTGCCTTTTTAGACACACGTTGAAACATGCCATTTTCAGTTTAGGCATTTGCCTAAATTAAAAGGCATTTTAATTTAGGCAAATTTAGTTTTTTCAATCCATGCCAGATTTTAAATGTTATTTCAATTTAAAGTACTTTCAATGATGGATCAGAAAAGGTGACAAGAATTTCCTCTTGTTTACACAAGTCGTCTTCCTGGTCCCCTCAGTTGCTGTGCACTGCTGGTAAGCTAGGTGAAAAAAGTCATATGCACTTTTAGATTCTTACAAGAAAGACAAATTTAGTTGAGTGGAAATATTTCCAGTCGTGCCAAACATAGACACTAAGCATTTAAAATGAATAACTGAAGAGCAGCATGTCTGTTAAGCTGATGACTCTTGGCTGCCTACTGAAAGACGGTTCAACTTATAAGTTAGGCTTCAAGATTTCTTTACAAAGTTGAAAAAAGTTCAAGTTTTACCTGATATAATCTGATCCACTATTCTCAGCATTGTTCTCTTTACTGTCAGCCATCAGAGTGAGGACCATTTTTCCATTTTCACCATCAGATTGAGGACCAGTTGTTGCAAAGTGAGGACATTTTGCCGGTCCTCATGTGCTATTTTGCTAATGGTTAGGTCTAGGGCTAAGGTGTCAATTGGGTTAGGGTTAGGGTGATGTATGCATTGGTAATGGTTAGGTTTAGGGTTCGTTTTACATTTAGCACATAGAAAGAGTTGAAAATGACTGAAAATCAATGGAAGTCAACGTAAGTCAACACATGGTCCTCACTATGATGGCAAAAGTAGTATGTGTGTTTTATGTGTCAGGGACTAGATAGGAATTAGCTTTAACACCTATAATCATGAACACATATGGCACGTTTTCCTTTGGGATTTTCATGTATGTCCCTGTTTAATAAATCCAATAATTAAGTAAATGTCTATTTTTAGCTTTTGCTTAAGTGTTTTGTTTACAATAAAACCATTACAAAAAGTTTTAAACAAGATCATTTTAATAAATTCAATTCATACGTCACATTCATTGCAGCTAAATCCAACTATTTTATTTTTATTTTTTGTAGTGAAAGAGGGATATTTGCTTTAACATCACACATAACTAAATCAGTATGAGCTTTATCCATGTAATGATATGAAATAAAAGTTCAGATGGAATGAGTTAAAGGATCTTTTGAAATGCTAGGTCAGATAAAACTAACCAGACAGAAATCAGGAACTGTGTATGCTATGGTCTGTAAGGTTTTCATTATCCTTGTTTTAATTTTTGATGCTGTGGTTTCTTAATTATGGGTCCTTGCCCTCTTAGTTTTTGTTCTTTCTATTTCTTGGGTTGATTTATTGGCAGTCATTTTGTCAGATGATCTTTTGTTTTCCTTCTATTTTATGTCTTTCTTCCTTCGTCGCTTGTTTCTCATACCACTAACTGTACTACTCAGTATATTTAATGTTTTCTCAGTAGTTGTCAGATCCCGTGGGATCCCTGTGCCAGGTTGGCTTTGGTTTTTGCTCCTGTTATACTTCAATTACTGTATATTTCACAATTTTTCATAGCTCTGAAGTGTTTAGAACAACTGAGCTTGACTTTCTTCTGGATCTAAACACCTGACAGATAATGATAGTGCTGGTATTCACTACTAGACTCACTCCAAGGTACTGAAATTAAGATATATTATTTTTCATGGCATTTAAGGAACTATAACTGGATTATTGAAAGTAGCCGTTAAAATTTCGTAGCATTTTAAAGGCCTAATGATTACATGACTACATTACATAACTATGGATATTCGTAGCTACAGCCATAAATGGGTTTCAAGGAAATTAAAGAATTGTTCAATTTCAAACATTTTAGTCAGACTCCATGGATGTGTCTCCATTTTTTTTCAAATTATTATAGTTTAAGTTATTACTGGGTTTTGCTGATGTCTGCATACAAAAATGCCATACCTATTTTCATCTGAAGAGGTGAGGGCTTATAGTTGATAGTGACAGCTTCTCCCTCTCTGGTGTCTGAGTCTGCCTCTGAGGCAGTGGAAGAAGCAGGGTCCTGGAGTCAAATCAAACCATGGACAGAAAGAAGAGCACAATGTACATTTCTGATCCAAACAGGGATAATTCATATATATAAGTCCATTATAAAAACATATTGCCAAGATTCTTTGAGATTTTTAAGTACTTCTTGGTCATGCAGATAAGGGTTTTGCAAACCGTGAATTGCAATTTGAAAACACTTTCAGAAGAAAGGGAATTGAGATGCACTTCTGAATCCTTCTCATAACTTTATTTAAGTTCTCTCTTAATGTTTGCAGTGTCCTGGCTTCTCCAGGTCATATATGTTGCAATTTACTGTCAGTAAAATGTCACCAAACTGTACAAAGACCAAGCAGCCAAAACTGATCAAAGGCACATTATAAATCATTGTATTTTAAAAGCCTGTATGCTACATGCCAATAAAAAAAGAAGAATCAATGCTGGTTAATACCTAAATAAACAACTGTCTTTCATGATAAAACAGGCAACCTTTCACCAATCAATAGACTAAGTTCTAGATTTGTGTCATGATTGCAAATAATAACACAAATGATACAGCAAATGATATTAATAAGGAAAGTGAATCATTTTAATAGCATAGAAATAAAGAAAATATATATAGATGAAGCACAGATAAAAAAGTAAAGAAATAAGTTGATAAAACATTGAATGTCACAATATGTATGACATAATAAGAAAATTATATACTTTTTGCTTAATCTGTTATTTAATGGAACATTTCAGATAAAGTCTGTATGGCAATGTGCATGAGCAGAACTAAAGTGGAGTGAGGGGGAAAAAAGTCTGTTTCAGTTTCGACATTGGATCCAGTGACTAATGAAAGTCGATGAACGCCTACGGATTTCGGATCAGATTGCTGAGGGTCTTATCAGGCAGGAACTGAGCAGTGGAGGCCGCCCTTGCAGGCTGCAGTATTGCAAGGCTCCGCTAAAGGCCACGGGGCGCACATCTCCAGCACAATGTCCTCAATTTGATCTAAAAACCTCCCTTTGAGCTGATGCGGCTAACAAAACAGTAATTTATATTTGGTTTCAGAGTGCTAAGAGGTGAGGAGGAAAAAGCAACCTGCTGCTGATGCTGCATCAGCAGCAGCAGCAGAGTCAGGATGGGATGCTTGTTTACGCCTCACGACGGATGCTGCGCAGGAGACCGGACGGTGCCTACAGAGGAGCAAGGAACCCTGTGTCTGAAAGAATCAGCCTTATTGAGTCTGTTCAACTACTGTTTTTGTTTGTTTGTTTATTTGTTTGTTTTTAACATTTACGATTGGGCCGATGAAAAAAAACTTGCTGACGCTCAAACTACATCAGCATAACTCCTGGGTGGGTTAGTCGAGCGCACAGGCCTCATCCTTCCTGTAATCACTCCTATGATCTAATTTTATGTAATATAAAAGCATGATCGGACAGCAGTGATATAATATTAAGGCAGCGGATGCAGCCAACCACGGAGACTCACCAGCGGCTGCATCTCAGACTGCATCTCTGCCTCCTGCACCGCGCTCGGTACCTGGAATCTGTCTATTTCCTCCATCATCTTGGCGGAGCGCAGGTTTGTTTTTCCTTCTCCTGAAAACAATCCGATCTCTCCGCGGCGTTTTCACTCAGAATGTGTTCAACCTCGGAACTGGATCAATCCCTGTGATTCTCCGGTGCTGAGCCTCATCCCAGCAGCAGACTCCGTGTCGTCGGTGGTCTGACTGGTGTGATGACGGCGACTCCAACACCCACTTCCGGGGAGGGGGATCCCAAGCGACCCGTGGACCACAAGCGGGCCTTTCTAAGAGTTTTAAACTCAACTTTCTTTAGAAATTCCAATAAAAAAAAAAAAAAACTCCCTCTGACAGATTATTTTTTCCCTTTTCTTAAAATATATATATATATATATATATATATATATATATATATATATATATATATATATATATATATATATTTAAATATGACAATAAAAGCAAGTAAGATTAACAATATAATAAAAGCAGGCACTGACGCAAATAACACAGTTGGACCAAAAACTATTGATACCTCAGTTAAAATGTAAACTTTAACAGTCAAAGGCAGTTCTAAATAAATAGGTTTTAACTTTTACTCAAAAGAACTCAGGCTTTCAGAACCTTTACAGTCTTCTGGGAGTTTGTTCCAGATAAGAGGAGCATAGGAACTAAATGTTTCTCCATATTCGGTTCTTGTTCTGTGTGTACGTACAGCATAGGTTTGAATTAGAAGACCTGGGCGGTCTGGGAGGTTGATGTACTGACAACAAATCTGTTATGTATTCATAGATTTATAGACTGACGATTTTAAAGTCTGTTCTCTGAGCTAAAGGGAGCCAGTGTAATGACTTCAGTTGGCCATAAGGCTGCAGGAAAACATGCTTTGGGTATGGAGGATGGCCTGGTGGCCAGGAGAACCCTAATTTTACCTATGAGGAGGCCTAAAGTGAACAATGATGCTCAGGAGGTTGGCCAGATGCCTTGTAGGAACTTGAGAGCAAGATTAACCCTGCTGGACACAGAATGCACAGGAAAACACCTTTAAGGAGACCACAATGAAACCCAGATGGACTGAAGCATGAAGGCTACTAAAAAACGGTTTGTCAATTTTTGGTGCTAAAATCTCTATACTGGAAAGATTTTGCAATACAAGTCCCTCCAGTGTGTCCCCCTCTGGGTCTCCTCCCGGTGGGACGTGCCCGGAACAACTCACCAGGAGGCCTCCAGGAAGCATCCTAACCAGATGCCCGAGTCTGGTTAGGATGGGTTAGAATCCAGATGAGGGTGTACACACTGCAAAGCAATGTTTTTGTACGGAAAATAGCTTAATTTTGAATTTCCCAGTTTGCTTTACAAATATATTTAGTTGCAGCTGCAAAATGTAATGTATTTTGTTCATTTTCTCCAATAGTCCAACATAAAGCATTGAGTTTTAAAATGTTAGCTGTATGTTTATTCAGTCCCTGTCACTCGAAATACCCTGGATACAAACCGGTTCAACAAATTGCCTTTAGAAATCACCTAATTAGTATATAGTGTGTGCCTGGGTTTAATTAAATCACAGTTTAACGGAGCATTAACCATCAAACAGCATCAAGAAAACTAAGGAGCAAAGCAGACAAATTAGAAGCAAAGCTGTTAAGAATTATAAAGCTGGTTTACATTATAAACCTACCCCAAGCTTTAAACATCCTATAGATTAGTGTTTAAGGAAGACCATCAGAAACTGCTGTTTTCAGTTTGACATCAATCATGGAGGATACACAGTACATGCAAAGCATTGAGGAAATAATATTTATAGGGTACATAGCTGACTAAACGTGAAAATTACTGGTAGAGCAATATTGAAATGTAATTATACCACCCACAAAGCGATTGATCAAAGCTGAAACTGGCTGCAGGTAAATTTGTTGCATCAACATTTAGCTCAATTGAAAGCCAAGTTTAAGATTTGCATGCAAAAATGTCTGCAGCCGTTGGGTCATATAGGTGCAATAACAGAAAATGGAGAAATTTTGTGCACATGTGGATGTATTTGGACTGTCAGAGATAACAATAGAATAGTGTTTGTGGGGAGATAAATGTGTGTGTTGTACTGATTAGTGCAGCGGGAAGCAAACAATCTATATGCAAAAGAAGCAACACTTTACTATTCTGATATGTTTATAAACAAAACCTGTAAACATATAGACTCAGGGACTGTAATATGACGAGAGGTGTTTGGGATCTTTTCCGGTGCCCATCTGAAAGTACACATCCCTACTTGTTTAAAGCACAGTGATCGTGTATTAAATCATTACAGACCTACATCAGTTTGCATAGTTTTTGATCAAGCAGGGTTTATGAAAGCATTGGTACAGTATATTGCTGTTTAAATCAGGGTCCAGGTATTGATTTGCTATTTAACCTTTTAACTTTAATCACTTGTATCTTTTTTTTTTTTTTACTTTTGATTATAGTACTTTTAAGATGTATATATTTCAGCACATGTGTGAATGTATACTATTCATCTCCAATCTCATTATATTCCTATAGAACTTAGATAATTTTTTTTTTCATTCCAAATAATACATTCCCTTATTTTGTAAATTGCGTATGACACTACCTGGCAATAAAGCTATTTTTAAAATTCTGAATATTGTTGTTACAATTTTTTTTCATGTAATGATTGTTATCTTTTTTACTTTAAACTACATAGCTTCTGAATATTGTCCCTCTTTCAAATCACTCTCCTCTTCAAACTGACAGTAGCAAACACAATTTCCTCATTTTAAAAAGGCAGTTAAAATCAGCTTTGTACCTGTTATCCACTGCACAGAACAATCTCAAAGATCATCTGGAACACCTACTGATTTAAAGTGCAGTTTTCTCTTTTTTTTTTTCCACAAGAGATTTAACGCTCCTTATTTGGAGTCTTTAAAAAAATCTGGCCCTAAATGCATCACAGTCCTCTTTGCTTGTATCTGTATTCCCCTGCCTATAATTTCAGTGTGCTGGGAGCATCCGTCTAGGGAATTTGAAGAAAATTTCAGAAAAAGAAGCCTCTATAAATATTTGTTTGAACTGATTTTCATTTCACTTTACAACCTCATGGGCTTTGGGCCATACGGTTATTTTGGATACATTGACATTTGTAGTGCCTAAACATTTTAGAAGTATCATTACTTTTCCAAGATTCTGTTATTTTAATAGACTTTCATTTCTATACGTCGTTTTTAATAACATTTATGGTCTAACCTGCTTCAAAATTCAAACCTAAATGGACAGTCTGGATCTGTGAAATGTGCCAATTGTTGAGAGAAAGATGTAAAGTACACTACTTTTGATTGCATATCATCCAAACCTAGAAAGGCCAGCAGAGAGCAGCAACAGCATGCTCTACCGAACAGTAATGGAGAGAGCTCTTGGTAATGCTGCAGTCAACAGTTGCAGTTTTATATAAGACCTGCGGGTGGCAGTATTACTCTTTAGAAAATGACTTGGCAGGTGTGGTAAAATTTAAATGACGATTGAATGTACACAGGGTCGAGCAGGTCTCTACATTTCAGTCTGCTAAATCCAATCATCCTGAGGCCCAAGCTCATGTGTTGCATTAGATATGACTAGTTTATATGCTTATATGTCAAGCTTTGTAAGTTTGACAAATATGAACCATGGGTAAATCACACAGAATCTGGAGAAATAATGGAAATGTGAATTTGCAAACCAAACAGGATAATTTCTTCAAGAAAAAACTTTCACATTCTTCTGCTCTTCTGTCACATTCACACACTTATCATGTCTCCATGATTTCGCCACATTTTGCATGCTGATGCTTTTTCCATCACACCATTATTCAAGCTTGTTACATGCTATAATTAGAACTCTGCAGATAAAATGAGCATTCACACTGAATTACCGTTATTTGAGTGTTAACACAGAATTGTTTTCAAAACTCATTTATTCGATGGGTGTCTGGGTCTAGCCTATTGAGGAAAATGTTTCAGAGTTTTTATTAGTAAAGATTAGAGTTATATTATTCAATTTTCACATACTAAACAGTAGGAAAAGGAACCTAGATACCCACATGTAAAGAGCTAACCATCTTAACACATAACTTGTGGCAGGAACAAAATAAAAAACATATGTTTTTAGACATATTCACAAAATTATAGTTTCAAGAATTATATACATCATTAATAATAATATTTGCATGTTAAATTTGTATTTTTTATCTGGTTTGTCTGAAATAAAGTCAGTCATTGATTCATTCATTCATCAGTATGTGTGACTCTGAGATGCATCGGTACCTTTTAAATGTATTCTTTAACCTTTACAACATACCGGTATTCTGACTTTATGAACAGAGCTTTCTGGGTATTTTAATCTATCACGCAATTTTCTACTTAAACAGAAGATAGTCAAGTATAAAGAGTATGATCAACTTGCAGAAGCCCCTTATAATGTGATTCCAACAACGGTTAGTTTCCTGATGGAATTAATAAAGTATTTTGGAAATTAATAAAATTTTGATTGTACACTTAAATATATATGTTAATAAATATGAGTATCAATGCAGCTCTGGGAAGACCTTAGGTTTATCAGAGAACAGCATTGGAAAGACAAGGTACGAAGCAGATAGTTCAGGAATAAATCTATAGGGAGTTTCAAAGCAGTTTTGGAGATTTATATTAATTCCCAATACCAAATTAGAAATAATATGGCATGACTGAAAACCTATAACAGTTATTTATCAAAAAAGAAAGGACAGGCAAGGATATTACAAGAAAGAAGCAGCCAAGAACTCAGTGGAATCTCTGGAGTAGCTGTAGTGCTCCACAGCTTATGTGCCTGGTGACAGCTAATTATTAGTAGTGCATTCCACATGTCTAATCTTTATTGAACGGAAAAACTTATTTTCTAAAAGAAAAGCATAAACCTGGTTTGCATTGTCCTGATTTAATATAAAGATTACATAAAACATATGATAGAAGGCGCTCAGGTAAAAAAAGAAGACCAAGAAACATTTGGACAAATATGCAAAACATCATGCTGACAAGAAACAAACCATGCTAAACACCTTGAACATGACCTCTCCATAGGGAAACATGGTCATGGTAGCATTTCGAATCAAGGAAACTGTTCTTCAGCAAAGATAAGGAAGATGGAAAGATTAGAGTAACATTAACAGATATAAATATAGGATGGTCCTGGAAGAACAACTGTTAGAGACTCTAG